GCTCGCCTTCGTCGCCGAGCCCGGCCTCGTGGTGCTGGATGAGCCCACTGCGGGGGTCGACCCGGCCGCTAGGAGGTACAATATAGAACCCCTTTCAAACTTTGCTTCAAGGTTCGAAGTTCCATCGTTGTAACAAAATCATTTTGTCAGGGACATCTGGTCGATGATATTGAAGTTGCGCGAGAACAGGACTATCCTGCTGACGACGCACCACCTTGACGAGGCGGAGCTGCTCAGCGATCAGATAGTCATCATGCACAAGGTACTACTTACCTTTTAAAATTTATGAGCGATTAAATCACAATTGCATCTTTAACTTCTTTTTTTCCTTAAGGGTCAAATCCATACAACAGGATCACCAATAGAAATCAAACGTTCCCTCGGGAGTGGCTACAAGCTGACGGTGATGTATCCTGATACCAGGAGAAAATTGGATGATCATTGTGAGGTGAAAGATGAAGAATGCATAGAAGAAAAGACCAACCTCCTGCTCGTGACCGTCAGAAATGTCATCAGGAATGCTACCCTGGTCGACGTGAATAGATCGGAGGTTGAGATAAATTTACCGTTCTTCGACCAAGATGGCGTTAGCAGCAAGTAAGGGATATTCAAAGTAGAACTATATTTCGACATTTCAAATGTTTACGTATTGCTCAGTGCTCATATGCTTATCTATAGTTTTAACTATATCTTCTGTTTGCTAGCTACCTTGAGTTGTGCTTGGCACTGGAGTCGCAACAGGCGGCGCTGGGCTTCCGCGACTTCAACCTCGACTGCAGCAGCCTAGAGCAGGTCTTCTTCACCATCTGCCACCAGGCCGATGCTCCACACCAGAACGTTGAATTAGGTAAGATTTGAAGTTTTTACTTTCTACAAACCAGCTTCCGATTCTCAGTGTCAGTTACATTATTTGTAAATCTTTATAATAAGTTTCAGACACACCATCTAAAAGTGCATCGACAACCAGCCTGCGAAATGACAAAGCCCCACTTGTCCCACGGGAAGGCCCACTGGTGGGTTCGGTGTGGGATCAGTTCGTGGCGCTGTTGTACGCACGATACCTGCATTACACGAGAAATAGGTAACTACAGTTTGGTACTACGATATTTTTCTTGTCTTAATTCATCATAATGATTCCCTCGCTGATTTTGTCCATGTTATTAGGTCTCTACTGTTCATGTTGGTGGCACTTCCTTCGCTGTTCGTGTTGGTATCGATGGCATTCTCTAACATCCGGCCGCCGCCCAACAGCGAATTCGCTCTGCCTCTGCACCGCCTGTACGACAACACAACCGACTACCTCATGTATGTAAAGGCAAAGAATTTAATTTTCTTTACACTTAGAAGCCGATTTGAACTAAAATTTAATGAAACATTCAAAATGATTTTATAATTTTCATGTTTTTCAGTAAAAAGCCGTTGATTACTGACGATAGCGTCATCAGTCCGCTGTTTTCTCAAGACATCATGAACATACTAATTGGCGACAAGCGAGCGAGAAACTGGACAGATGAGGTAATTTAATGAATTAGGTTACTAGTGACACAACATATTGTTGTCTCTTTTTTGACACAGAGATTGAAAAGGTAACCCTCGGCAATAAACAGGTGCATTTATCATTTGCTTGTTCCAGGACAATCCTGTATGTAATTGTGTGGTCTTAAAACAAGAATGTGACCTGAGTGCTGTTAACAGCAGTACTCTTCCAGAATTGATGATGTTACCCGATGCACATACTCTCAACAAATGGCTTGTAGCCTCACACGATGTTTACATGGAGAAAAGGTATTATACAGCCGTAGAACCTACAAAAAAATACGTATCGCACGTGCTACTTATAGTGAAATGTTTGTAGGTACGGCGGCTACTCCTCTGTGATCAAGAATAACATGTCAAACCTGATGGTATGGTACAATAATAAAGGATACCACGCCATGCCCACGTACGTGAGCGCGCTGCACACGGCGGCGCTGCGCGCGGCCAGCGGGCGCCGCTACGCCAGCATCACGACGTACTCGCACCCGCTCAAGATATCCAACGAGCCCATCAACAAAGATACTGTGTTAGTACAAACAAAACTTTCCTCACGATCATTACAATGTTCTCTTGATTTTTTACGATATCTACTTTCTCGTTTACTAGTTCTATTTTTTTTTTTATAATATGAGATGCTAGCGGTCACCTGAATTTACCGAAATGCGAGGACTTTTCTCCTTCCTATGCGTGTCCTCCACCGTCAAATCCAATTTTCCTTCCCATCTTTTCCTCTTAAGAAAAGGATGAAAAGGGAAAGGGACTAAAAAGAGGCCTCCGGCACCACACTCATCAAACGAAACGCGGAAATGATCCCACTGCACGCCTGTCTTCAGTGTAGTCGTGGTATTACATACGGCCCTGTAGTACCAGAATATTAAAGCGGGCTCTGCCACTGTTAAACTATAAATTTGTTGCTCTACCCAATGTTTCTCATTTTCGTGATTATTAGGCAAGCGTATCTTGATATTATGTTGTAGTTACCAGCACATCGCGGACGCGGGCGTGTCGGCGATGCTGCTGATCGCGTTCAGCTTGGCGAGCGCGGGCGGCGCGGTGCGGCTGGTGACGGCGCGCGCCACGCAGCAGCAGCGCCTGCAGCTGCTGGCCGGCGTCACCCCCACCCTCTACTGGGCCTCCGCGCTGCTCTGGGACATGGCGGTCAGTATAGTACCAGTGGTCAGTGGGCATATCGCAGCCCCAAGATCAACATGAACATATTTTTGAAAACAACTTTCTTTCCAGGTAATTGTGGTCAACATTATTATTACTGCAGTCGTGCTGGAGGCATTCCACTTCCCCGTATTCGTCTCTAGAAATAATTTGCCCGCTATTTGTCTCCTCATCTTTTTGTATGGGTGCGTATCTACCCTTTAACTATTAAAGAGCTTTTTAGAAATATTCTCGAATCTATAATTCTGGTATCTTTATACATTTTTCTTTTAGTTATGGTTGCGCGGGCGTGGTGCACGTGACGTCACGTCTGTTCACGCAGCCCAGCCTCGCCAACATGCTGCTCTTCTGCGCCAACACCTTCGTTGGTGTCGTTGGCATCGCCCTCCTGCTCATACTCGACATCATCTCCGAATCTGATGTGAGCTGCTTGACATAGAATTTTTATAGAACATGATTTTTCTTAAAGTGATAGTATAGAAATGTTAGCATATTTCAGAAAGTAATAAACCTAATCTCACCAATGTAAACAGGCGACAGATAGAGCGCGCTGGGTGCTGCACAAGATCCTCATGCTAAGTCCGCAGTTCACACTCGGGGACGGAGTGCTGGAAATCGCTAAAAACACGATACGAGCACAGGTTTGAAGACATTTTTAAAAATCTATATTACATCATCAGAATTTTTTAAATCCAGTTACTTCAAACTGCAAGATATTTATCTCCTGACAGTACAGATTTTGCGAATCTATGTTCTCAGGTGCTGGGCCAATTCGGTATGGATACGTACCGCGACCCGCTGACCAGCGACCTCATCGCCTACCACTGCCTCGCCCTCGTCCTCGTCGGCACCGCGATGCATCTCCTCAACCTCGCCATCGAATATGATTGCTTCGAAGTTCTACTAGCTAAGTAAGTAACCGAAAGACGTATTCATAAATATTAGGTTAACATTTCAGTAAGACACAAATTAGAAAATGGAAGTAAAAGATTAAATCCAAATTCTAACAAGAAAATGAAAGAGAAGGACCAAAATATAGGAAAACTCGATTTAGGAGAGGATAGATGGAGACAGGACATTTTCTTTTTCTTTCTTTTGTTTGTTCCCTTTGTTTTATATCCTAAGGATGTGTATGTATTAAGGTTCCGTTCCGAGCGCGTAGAGCCGCTGGCGGACAGCGAGCTGGAGCCCGAGGTGCTGTCGGAGCGCCGCCGCGTGCTCGCCGCGCGCGCGCCGCTGCGCCTTAGGACCATTGGCAATATCAACGCAGGTATTTAAACACGGTTAAATCTTGAATCTTAAATTTTATTTCGTAATAACGAATTAATCTTCACAAAGAAAGTTGACGTTTTATTCTTATGCAGTAATTTTGAGTCTCCTAGCCATTGCGGAGCCAATCTAACCTACTCTCAATACCACTACGTAGTTACTAAGACAGGCCTATAGTATAGATTTATCATGAGAAATCTAGGTATTCTTTGACAAAGAGAGTGTGCGTACACCTTTGACTAAGCTATCGCCCAACTGTTTAGTTATGCTTTGATTCCTATAAGCGTATATTTTTAGACAACTTATTTAATTGATACTGTCGCTTTATACTCAGAGCAACACTTCTCGTCAGAACGCAGGTTGCGCGCCAATCTATCCATACTTCTAGTGACATTGACAGCTGTCAGCTAGGGACGTGATGTTTATGCAGATAATCTAGAGTTGCGCTAACTCTATAGCACGGTACTAATGTTGTTCATATGGAGGTACACTATTTGATTGGTAGTTGTGCAACTAAACAATTAGTCAAAAGCGTGTGCCGGCTCTAAAAAACTTTGACAGCAGTAAGTTATTTTATGTTATTTTATGTCCAGGTTTCATAGACACAGAGGAGAAGAAGGGTCCGATGCGCGCAGTGTCGGAGGGCGAGGTGGCGGCGTGCGTGCGCCTCAGCAAGGCCTACCCCGCGCTGGCCGGCCGCCGCCTCGCGCTCAGGGACCTCACACTCGCTATACCACCAGGACAGGTATCACATCTTACAATTTATGACGAAAATTATACATAAGTCGTATTATGTATTTATGTATCATACCGATTGCAACACACAAATTAGCACTCGTAAATACTCTTAGTTGCCAAACAATTTTTAAATTGGTTTATTTAAAATTTATTTATTTATTGAGATAAACCAACCGGACAAAATTATAACACATACACATTTTACACAATACAATAAGTAACATGCGGATAATTTGTCCTAATTTTATATAGATATACACGACATACATAGAAAAAAAAACAACAGTACAATAGTACACATACATATATGTGAATTTATTTAATTAATTATTATCACTTTTCTAATGACTAAATTAATTTAAATAAAATAAAAATAATTATTTTTTTGTAAGAAAAAGTGATATATCTTAGTAGACTAGCATCATCCGTTCGTTTAAATATTTGTGTAAATCCAGTGTACAGCGCTGCTGGGTCAGAACGGCGCCGGCAAGTCGACCACATTCTCAATGCTAACTGGCGAGGTGCGGCCCAGCGCTGGACACATCTGTCTGCGCAACACACGCGCTGGCCCCAGAGACCTCTGCAATGGATTTATAAGTAAGATATCCCACAAAGTGGCAAAATTTCCAGTCCGAATAATTTTTAACATGAATTATTGTAACTATTTTTGTGTTAAATGCGATATACTTGTACAGGTTACTGTCCACAAAGCGACGCCATCGATCCTTTGCTGACGGTGCGGGAGACGCTCAAGTTCTATTGCAGGCTGAGGGGCATACAGGACCAGGACGAGGTGACATCTAGTGTCTATTCTATCGTCTATCTATTCTTACCTTACTCTACGTGGGACAGATCGATCTATCTTGGTTCAATTCAGTTACTCTCTTCTGAATAATGTAACTTTCAGCACAATCCATCTACTTCATATTTCAAAACATCTGTAGTTAAAATGTATGTTATTTTACAGGTGATCAGAAGGACAATAGACACGTTTGACTTGAGCAAGTACCGCGACGTGCGCAGCGGCCAGCTCAGCGGCGGCAACAAGCGCAAGCTCTGCACCGCCATCGCCTTCATGGGCAGGACGCCGCTGGTGCTGCTGGACGAACCCACGAGGTACGTGTCAGAAGAAAACGTCAATCGTAACAAGATGTTAATACACTATCAGATTATACTAGACGAGCTGTTGCCTTGCGGCTTCGTCAAAAAAAATATTGTTTACATTTGTGAAATCTTCAATTGCAAATGTCAAAATTTAAATGCGCAATTGACAATGACAGCCAAAGGATAACAATTATCGTTTCCATGGCAACATTGCTTCCTTGATGTTGGCAGTTTGTAATTTTTGTCCCTTTCCCGCATGTCCTTTTGCCAAATTATTTACTCGGTAAGTTTAATAGTGTGAAATATGTAGCCCAAAGCATGTCGTAAGCGTAAGACTTTTTATTAAGAGACATACTGTGATTGCTGACGTACGGAACGAAGTAGTATGTAACAAAAATGTATTTGTAACAACATAATTAAACTAAAAACTCAAGCCACCACCTCCCGCCATAATGGCGCACTTTTCCTACACGTCTGAATGACATTGACAGCTGTCAGGGACGGGACGTCAATAGCGATGACCTAGTGTTGCCCGATTTTTTTAACTATAAAAAGATAGATAAAGTATTGTTGTATACATTTACCCTTATTCCCAGTGGCATGGACCCTGGCTCTCGGTCGTGTGTGTCCCGCGGCGTGCAGCGCGCGTGCAGCTCGGGGCGCGGCGTGCTGCTGGCCACGCACGCGCTGGACGACGCACGTCGCTTGGCCGCGCGCGTCGCCCTGCTGCAGGCCGGCTCCCTGCGCGCGCTCGCACCTCTAGACCAGTGTTTGAGACGGTAATTTAATATTTATTATGCCACTCCGTCCGCGTGCAATTAAAAAAGTTCGTAGCTTGTGTTCTTCCAGACTATCTTCTACATTTATACCAAATTTCATCGAATTCCGTTCAAGACGCTTATGCTTTTTATTTTTGTGACCGTTTTTGGTGGCACCCCAGCAGCTAGTTAGCTCATAGCTTTGAGATTTTAAGTTTATCTACTCTATTTTTAAAAGCGTTGACTGTTTGAGCTGCGAATACACTATCCGGCAGCCTGTTCCACGCCGTGACTACTCTGTTAGGCAAATAATGATTAAATTAATTCTTTTTTGCACGTAGTTCTTTTTTAATAGTTTCCAAATGCAATCCAGTAGGTGTTCATTTTAGTTTAGTGCATTATTATGAATTGTTGTGAAATTTATCTATATGGAAGAATTGTTTGTGGGCGGGCAGGTTTGGCGGCGGGCAGGCGGTGTGGTGGCGGGTGCGCGGCGGGCGCGCGGCGGTGCAGGCGGCGTGGCGCCGGCTGCGGGCCGCGGCGCCGCACGTGCAGCTGCACGCGCTGCACAACAACGCGCTGCACTTCCTCCTCCCTACACACTGTATAGGTATCCACTAGTTAAATATATGCCGGAGTGACGAGCGGTTGTCTAATTTAATTCTGAAGGTAGATCATAGACCCGGTAACTTGTGCTCTATTGTAGGCGGGCGTCTTGCGGAGGGCATAAAACAACAATCGCGTAATATCAAAAACACATACATTCACGATATTTTAGATTCACCAAAGCAGAATTTACGAGGAAAGCTAACCTCAAATTATTGGGAAAACTAACAAAAAAATATTGTCATAGTTGTCCGCTTTGTAGACTTTTATTGTGTATTTCATTACTAAAGCGACACCTTTAGTGAATGAGCCATTAGTGCACAGTCATTTTTGTTTGTGTGTAGTGGATGGCAAGGAGGTGCAGACGCGTGTGAGCGACGTGTTCCGTCTGACGGCGGAGCTGCACGCCGCCTGCGACCTCGAGGACTTCACAGTCAACCAGAGCTCGCTCGAACAGGTCTGACCTCTACACATCTCTAACTCATTTTAAGAAATCACTTGCGATTAACTTCGAAATCTAGAATATGTCTAATAATAAATTTTTCTTATAGATTCGTTGTGTAACCGAATGTTTTTATCTGCAGATGTTCCTAAATTTCGCCGGCTCGAGCAGATCGCGTGGCACAGAGCTGGAGGTATCTGAGTCTCCCCCCGTGCTCCCCGCCTCACGCTCCCAACCTCCTCTATGCTCCTCGCTCCCCCCGCGCCCTCTGCCTCCCCCGCACTCCCCGTCACCCCCGCGCTCAACGCCTCTCCCGCGCCCTCCACCCTTATCTGTGATAGTGATGTCACCGCGCTCTGAGACACATTGTTAGCCGACGTGCCGAAGTGGCCAAAGACTTAAAGGTCTTGTCTATATCCTAAAAATATTGTCTACTAAATCACGTGGAGTTGCGAAAAAATCACTAAACATGATAGATAGACAGGGGCTTAATATGCGTCAGTTTGGATGTATGAATCGTATCTCCCAAACTACTTAGCGGATGTCAATACAGACCCAGATGTAGGACATAGTTTGTATGGAAATGGGCTGAACAATATGATTTTTTTTTAATTCCGTGCAGACGAAATCGTGAGCAAAAGCTAGTTACTAATCTGTGCTCTGTGTTATCTGTGCTTTGTAGGTACTAAAATTCACGTGATTAAAAATGTGGATTTAGTGTGAAATACTACATTTAGCGACTAAGGAAGGACTGTGAGTGTGACAGTAAAATATTAATGTATTAGTATAGTATTGAATGACTTGTAAAAATTGTATTAAAGGTGTGTGAACAACATAACCTCAATATCATGACATTATTTTAAAATCTTTGTTTAATTATGTGGCGAAGGTCAGATCAACGAACTTTCAAAACATTAATAAAACTATCCTCGAAAAGTAAGAGAATATAAAGGAAAAAATATAATAAAAACGGGATTAATTTTAAGGTTAAGATAAAAAAATACTACCCAAACATACAAGACGAGAAAAGTTTTTATATTTTAGATTGTGAGTAAGAATTTTTTTCCTTGGAAAAGCGATTGACAAAATGAAATGAATACGTGCAATAAAGATAAATATATTTTTGTATATTAACGTGGGTTTAAAACAATGTCATTCTGTTTTAAAAATAAATGACGGTTATAAAAACTCTTACGTTGTGGTACTTAAGAGATGGGGTAAAAAAGCAAAACTTCAGTCCAATATTTTTGGTTTTTAAACTAAGCAAATAAATTTAAGGTTATTAAATTGGTATGTTAGCTTAAAAATGTGGACTGATGAATATTCGCTTTATATCCCATACTTGTGACGGCCAAAGTTGAAGATAATTCCTATACAGAGAACTTTTTTCCTATTAATAAGTGTTTAATATAAATGTAATATAAGTAACGTAATATCTATTTGGATGACAGATATACAAATATATTCATCCCATTTGAGAACATGTAACATAACCTATTTCTTGTTAAGAATATATTTTGAAGACATTTTGATAATGGAAATTGATCTTAGAATTATGAAGTTAGACGCAAAATTAAAACATCGTTTGTATTTTTGTATGCGCTCTGTGATATAATTATTATGTGTTTGTACGTGAATAAATAATTTGGAATGGTACATGTGTTTTGAATATATCTTATAAACCCCAAACCTAGTATCCAGTATTAAAAAAAAAACAAAACATTTAATATGTTTAATCTTTATTACAGAAATAAAAGATAGATATACATAAAGTAACCAAGATTCTTAGAATATGAGATCATTTGACTAAGAAGTAATGAATATTTCATTTATATATTTAGAGAGCATTTAACGATTTAAAAAAATTCTTGACATCTTAGATCTTTAGGAGTTTTACAGCATGTGTTAAAACTGTACAACTTTTAGTTTTGAGACATCCTGTATCACATCTTGGTATTTTAGTTGGCATCAAAGGAGGTGGAGATGATGCCAGCGGCGTGCTTGAAGCGCGCCACCAGGAGGTCCAGGGTGCGGAAGACCAGGTCCTTGTTGAGGTCCTGGTGCCCCAGGCTGGACACCGCCAGACGCACTGCAGCCGACATCGACTCCTCGCTGAACACGTATACTTCTGAAAAATTACAATTACTCAATCATTAATTCTTTAACACATTTGAAATATTGGAGAATCTTTTAGAAATAAACACTGACACTAGAGACATTTTTGCCATTATGAGATCGCTAGACGGCGTTGATTTCGTGTTAGAACACGATATCGTCATCTCATTTTACATATTTTAATAAAAAAAAATAAACACGATGACTCAAAATTGTTATACAACACATTCAAAAACCGATAATTAAGAAAATTAAATGTTAAATACTAATTACCTGGTATGACTGCCATGATAGCGGCGCACGTCTCGTCAATATCCAGGGGACGGAGCTGGTCATTCTTGCTGGTCAGGTCCAGCTCCTCGCCGGATAACTGCTGAAAGACTGCGAACACCTGCTGATGCAGCCACGCGCCCAGCTCGTCCAGCCACGACGCCAGCAGAGATTCCGCTAGGTCTGGAAGTTAGAAATTGATGGGAAAGCATTTTAGTACAGCTATAGGACAAATAAGTAACCTCTGACCTTGAACTTCCGATCACAAAGGAGAGTACACTCGCTTGAAGAATTAGAAGGTTCCTATGTGTTCCTACAATCGGAATGTATTAATATTAGTGGTATTTACCAGCAAAGAGCAGCGTGGCGAGGCGGAAGGCGACGTGCGAGCGGCACAGCCCCGCCGCGCCCGCCAGCGCGCACGCGCCGCTCCAGCCCGCGCCCGCGCTGCTGCACCACTCCTCTGCACACGCACACAAGGCTCCAGTTGCAGCACTAAGCCATAAAGGTTGCTAAAATACGGCAAGTCTCAAGACACCTTAGGTCTCTATCGAAGGCTGCTATCTAATGTGAGTACATATGTTACCGAAGTCAGCGGGCGGCACGCCGGGCTCGGGCGCGGCGGCGGGGGGCTGCAGGGGGTCCAGCGCCGCGTCCACCTGCCCCAGCGCCCGCCGCGCGCCCACCAGCCGCGCCACCGCGCCGCCCACCTGCCGACACGCGCCCACACACGTCACACAGGACTGCGGCCGAGGTGATTCAGCGGCCGCAGTCTTACTCACGCTGAGGTCCGGCGACGTGCACACATAGTGCCAGTCGCGTGGCCGCGGCGCGCCCTCGCCCGCCGCGCCCTCCGCGCCCTCCGCGCCCACAGCCGTCTTTATAGAGTTGAACACGCCCGTCACTGTCCGTTGGAACAACCTGTCAGAAATACCAAGCTCTGACGACCACCACAAACACCTTTCTAGAAAATAACAAAAATTCTCGACGAAAAATCCATACTTCTTTCAAGCTTTATGCTTAAATCGCTACAAATATTGCCTAAAAGAAGATTTCACTTACTTGTCCAAGCGCTGCATATTGTTGGATGTTTGTCCAGGCGAAGAATTCCTCTCCATGTTCATGTCATACTCATCTAATGAACAGATGTCTATTATTAATTAGAAGAAGATATAGAAGTTTGTCAACAGGTATGAAAGTGTGAGTAGAATTGACCTGCGAGCGTGGCGGTGTCGATGGGTCGCGAGGAGTGGTGCTGCTGCGTGCGCCCGCGCGTCTCCTCCGCGCCCTCCCACCAGATCTCCTCAGACCTGTCAGTCAATAAGGACAAACTAAAACCCCTCCTTTGTATCACTTCAGATCATTTACTACCTTCCAAATTTTCAACTGCTCCTACAAGTATTACACTAACAAGCTTGTATCAAGAAATATTTGACACAGTGTAACAGGTATTCTAGAGACTTGTAAGACAGGTTTCAATGGCGTGTGAAGTGCACCTGTAGTGCGCAGTCTCCGCGCGCTGCTGCAGCAGACAGCGCAGTTTGGCGATACTAGTGGACAGGTCTGCCGCCTCCTCGTACTCGGGCTCCGGGGACTCCGACCCCGGCTCCGGCGGCGGCCAGCTGCCCGCGCGCCGCACCTGCTACCCCAACCAATACTACTCTGAGACAGAAGACCAACGGTTCCGATACTAGAGACCTACATTCCCCTAATTTCCAGTGTTAATCATGATTTTTAAGACATGATAAAATAGACTAATAACTATTACGTCCTCCTTTTTGCCGTTTTTTCTTTTTAAATTTGACACCGATTTTAAACTTACCATGCTATCCTGCGACGTCACTCGATGTTGCTTCACCAAATGTGGTACGGCGCCGTTTTCTTCTAAATAGGAATACATTTAATTTAGTCCCTATTTTAGTTTGTAAAAATAATGTACTGTTTACAAAACACGTATTTACATACCCTTGTATCCAGACGCAATGTCCCTGTGCTCCTGTATGGGCTTTCTGACCATATCCTGCGGAGGAGAGATCTTCTCTGATGCTTTTTCCTTGGCTTGATGCGATGGAGATTTCTCCTGGGGAAATAAACCACTGTTGTTTTTTTGGTCTATTTAGTGACGTATATCAAAGCGAAATCCGTACATTTCCCTATTAAAGTCAAACTAACTTGTGAGTCATCGCTGAGGCCGGTGAAGCGCAGGCCTTTCTTGATACCCGCGATGCCAAAGTCCAGTAGACCCTCCATCATGCCCGCCGCCTCGTCCTGCACACCCACTAACTCTTACACTATTCTTTAATTCACTATTATACGAGTAATATGCATGCGTTCAAAATCTGAAGACCAACGTAAACCTATGACAGATCGAATTCTACATAAAATATCGTAACCAATGCCATAGGTAGGTTTTTGATGAAGTAATAGCATCTGTATTTTTGTCTAACATACCAAAAGAAATAATAAACAGAAGTATTACATGCATTATATGCCAAGCAACATTGATTCGCATGATTGACACATGCCGTCTTTATTTTTTCAAAGAGAACGTAAGGGATAGCGTGTCAATATAGCAAGCAGTTTAGCATTATACCCTGTTAAGTTGGCACATTAAGCAGTAGAATAGTCCATAGGTCCGACGTGCCAAATGAATTGAAACTATCATGCATGGTGGAAAAGCGTTGAAAGCAGAAAGTCCGTGCTGAGAGACATACACTGGAACGGTTGCGGGGCACATCTATGTACGTGTATGGGACCTGTAGGTCGCCTATCTTGGACTTGGCGTGGTGCACTGTGCTCTGGATATCCTTGAGGAGTTCAGCTGGCTTCGGGCTGCTTTCCTTCTTCACGGGGCTCGGTTCAGCCTTCTGAGGGCTGCTGTCCCCACATTCTAACTCTATCGCATCTTCTTCACCTATAGTTACGTCATTTTAGAAAGGGGAAGAAGTTAGGCTCCCCAAGATCTTAAAGCTTCCGAAATAATAGGGCGTTTAGAAATAAGGGATGAAATTATAAAAAAAATATGATTTCCCTGAATTAATCGGCGTATTGTTATTAAAACTAATAATAAGGGTATTAGCTTACCGAACCAAAAAGGCTGTGGTGATTTAGCTCTGGGTGGATTAGGGCTGCCATCAGGGTCTACATCCTGTCCCCACAACCGACTGAGGGTGATCTCCCCATCCAAGCTAGCCAGGAGGTCCTGCCCCAGGCTGATGCACTGCAGATCCATGTCAGTCTCCCAGGTCTTCATACTCCCTGAAACCAAGAGTCTACTTATTGGAGAAATCTTACTTCTTACTAATAATGTGAAAAAGAGGGATGGAGGGACAAAAGGATATTTGTTACTATGTATCTCCAAAACAGCTCACACACAGAGTCTGGAAGATCACATAGGCCACTTACATTTTTTTTTCACATGAACAAAATAGCAGGTTAAAACTAGTAATGTTAATAAGATATCATAGACAATGGTTTCATTTCCCATGATGTAACATAAACCCAATATAAAAGTTAATATCGAAATAGCTGAAAACTCTACTAAAACTGGTAAAAACTAGAATTATGTATTTAATGTTACCTTCAATTACTCTATCGTAAATCTTGACTTCATTTTTTCCTTGCCTCCCCCGTCTCTGCCTTAGTATTGGTGATGATTTGATGTCCATTGGCTCTGAACTCTGCATTGCCTTCTCTTCTACAATACTCTCCATTCTCTCTTGAAACTCGTCTACTCCTTCTAATCCTTTTTGGAATGAAATTTCATCGGATGGAGACTCTACATTACAGAATAATGGATTTATTTCAGTAAATATTTCTTCAGGAATAACTTTTGATTCACATTCTTCTGGAGCTGGCGACTCAGTATTTTCTTCTTTTTTCTCCTTTATCATTGAGAGTAATTTATCATTCAGCCAGCTGGGATCTGCCAATGTACTATTGATGAAAATGTCTAGTTTTTTAGATAATACCCTAACTAGGATTTCCGATTGTGGTGTATCCCATAATTCCCAAGGAATAAGTTCCTTTAGTACAACTCGCAGTAAATTTACACAATGATCTGCTGATTCATATTTCTTATCATTGGATACAGGGTGTGTTTTTTTGTACAAAGATTCCACGGAACTTGTAGGTGACTCTTCATGCCTCTTTAATGCTTTGCTATACTCTTTTAAATGGCTTGTTAGTACCGCACAGATGTCAACGTAAACATCCTTAGTGTCAACTTTTTCACATATCTAAAATGCAATAATTTATTGTTAGATTTTTAACAAAGTAATATAATGGTGCAATTCAATGATAAGTCACATGAATGAATTTTTTACGTATGTAAAGCTTTTCAATATACAAACATATTTTCAAATATCTGATTATACAGTGCTCTTAAAACTCAACATTTTTTTGTCATGCAATTTCAAGCTCTGGCAGAAAGTCATAAGAGTAATTTTAAAGTGTACCTGAAACGTCTTGCTAATCATCTGATCCAACATTTGTTTGCAAGCAAACGGGAAACCAATTTCTGGCGAAATATATGCCATGTACCATGATGATACCAATTTCCTCTCCAATACCGTTGATATAATACTGAGCTCATTAATGTCATATTCTTTCGGTTCTTTATATATCTTTCTTTCAGTTCGAGGAAGAATTCCAGTCAGAAAAGAAAGTCTCGGATATTTTTTTACCAATCCCTCTAAATCATATTTTATCGGTTTGTTCAGATGTAACAGCCACTGAATAAATTTAAAGCTAAACAGCACAGATATTACGAAGACTGAAATTAAATATAAATGAAACCATATTCCGGTTATAGGAGAAATATTTGTGACATAGTTAAGAATTATACAGATGAGTGCGCCGCCACACGATATTATAGTCAAATCTTCGAGTACATTTCTTTTTAGTAACATGGTTTGGCTTGGTTAAATAACGTACGTAGTAAGTCGGGAATATAAGCTATTGATTTTTCCTAATATTATTGATTGTATCCATGTTATTGATGAAAGTAATTTGTTTATGTTTTTGGGCTTGTGCTGTCACTGTCACTGTCATCGTTTTAGTTATCAGCTATTTTCAAAGAGTAAGTCATATTGCCAAAACTATTAATTTCCATTTCGTGGGTAAATAGTTAAATTAAATCTTTACAAAACCCGACATAATCGTTGTAATATTATAAAGGTATAATTACTTGTAAATTTGCACTACTTATCACGTTTTATACTTTTCTTTTTAATGGTTCGTGAAATTGTTAACTCTGGAAAACTGCCTGTAGGTAAAAATCACGTTATTTTTGTATTTACTCTTTGGTTTGATGACATTGACGAAATTGTCAAAAACGTGCGTACGTCACGTCATTGTCATCAATTTTGCAACATCGAATTTGATTGTAATTAATTTAGAAACTTCGTACAAAATGTAAGAGAAAATCAAATAAATATATACTTCTATGTTTTTCTTGCAACGTTGATCTAAGTTTAATTCATAAATATATTTTTTCAGGTCGAAAGTAACATTCAAGATTACCTTGACTTCGGACCCAAAGTTGCCTTTCAAAGTGTAAGTTGTTATTCTTATATTTAATATACGTAGTCGTTTTACCATACGGGTGGTCAAGTATGTCATAAAATGCAAATAAAGTTATAGGCAAGCGTTCAATAGGTTGTAATCTTTGTTAACAGATGAACAGAAGCTGACCACTGCCAAGAGAATGGCTGTTGAACAATTCACTGACTTTATGAACGATTTTCTTTACCTATGTCAGTTAGACGATTGGCCCAACAATGATACAACTGAACTTGAGTTAAGGAATGCCTTTTTAATGGCTCAGCATGTTGTAAATTGCTTAGATATGTTACAACAGAAGTCTGTGATTAGTGAATTTATCTCAAAATTAAATACTGAGAATATATCTCATGTTCTATTAAAGAGATGTTTAGAAGATCCACCAAAGTATATAATGAAAAAAATCATTCAATCATCATGTAAAACAAGTATAATGGATGTAGGATTTAAATTGTATGTAGAATTATTCTCTGAAGTGAAACTGGAGGCTTGTTTGAGTGATCTATTTTTAGAAACTGCATCAAAAGAAACATTATTAACAAACATTGCTAAAGAGTTCCCAAAAAATAATGTTTTGAAATTGAAAAGTGAATTTTTCCTTTCGGAAATTAGTAAAAGTGATTTTGAAGAATGTAAAACAATTATTAAAGATATGTTCAGCAAAGATAATGAATCAATACAATTATTAGTTATATGTTTATTAAATAAAGACACAAAATACATAAATGGTGTAAAATATATTATCGATATATTTAAAAATGTAATGCAATGCAGGGATGTAAAATATAAAAGTTTCTGGAGATGTTTATATACATTACGGGAAAACTACTTAGTAGATTTTTGTATAGAAAATAATGATTTATTTCATTTATTATCAAAAGCTTTAATAGATTGTGGGAAGTTATTGAAAGAAAACATGTCGGCTGAATATTTTTATATAGATTTAACTTATTCTGAACTGCAAAGTATGTTACGGAAGATCTGTCAAAATGAAGAATTGAAAATGGAGTTTCTAGAACAAGTGGAGAATACATGTGACATAGATTTCTGGAATAATATATTGTTATAATGATTATTTAATATTTGAAGTATTATTTTGACTTGCCTATAGCTCTATCAGCATGTAATTAAGGTTCTGTGTCAAGTTAATGATATGAGATAATGAGCGTCGGTGGCTCAGTGGATTGAACACTTGACTTGTAATCTACAGGTCTTGGGTTCGAATCCCGCCATGTACCAATGTGATTTTCGATTTTTCAAATTTTCATATGTAGATAATTTACCCGACGTTCTTACGGTGAAGGAAAACATCGTGATGCAACCTGCACATATCGGCGAAGAAATTCAAAGATATGTGTGAAGTCGACCAACCCGCAGTGGGCCAGCGTGGTTGACTATGGCCTAAACACCCTAATTTAGCGTAGGCTCCGATCCCCTCGGTGGGGACATATAGTGAGCTGGTGGTGTGTCAAGTTAATATAATTTTGTATGTTTTTCTTTCATAACTCTACAGTATATTTTATTGTCTATACTAATATTATGAACAGGAAAGATTTGAATTCTGTATGTTTTAGAATAACTCAAAAACTACTAGGCTGATTTCAAAAATTCTTTCGCCAATAAAAACGTTATAAGTGAATAACATAGGCCGTGTTTTTTTTATTTTTTTGACGCTGGCGAGTCGCAAGCAACAGTTACTAGGTAATAAAATTGAAAATTGTCTTTATTTAATAAGGTATTTTATTATACGCAACATAAAGAACTAATGGAAATATTTTTAATGCATTCTTAAATTCAATTAATATTGCCATAAGAATAACTGGCTCAGAACTTTATAAACAGTTTTCTAGTATGAGTCTATAGGAATGTAATAGCTTGGTGGAAAAAAGGTTGTCCGAATACTGAAACGATTTTTAAAAAATCCGTAACTAACAATATTTACGATAACATTTTTATGAATTTTCACAATTCAGCAGTTTGTCTAATAATAGCTACTGGATATTATGAATTGGCACAGACTAAGCGTGCCAGAGGCGACACCGTTTACTGCGGTGCTGAAATTCGCTGCGGAGGAGTTTCGGGTGGAGCCTGCGACCAGCGCCATCATCACTGACGATGGTATCGGCATCAACCCTCAGCAGACAGCTGGTTTGTATATATATAGAAACCTTATAGAAAATTGATTATAAGAAAGTCTTAAATATTTGTTTGTTAAATGAATTCTTGACCATAATATTGTTTAAGAAGCCTTGGTTACTGAATGGTCACTTTGATGTCATCATAATTACCTAATCATACAGCAAAATTCAATATCTGATCTCGAACCATAATTTCGAACCAAGAATAATAAATTCTGACCTGGGGCTCTTAACTATCCAAATTATTTTTTCTGCAATTTGATGAGAAAATTTATATTGATAGGTATTTTTGATTATTTTAAACATGACATTATTATTATTTTAAAGATAATTTAAGATTTTTCATAGATTTGAATGGACGAAGAATTAAATATTTATTTTGCCAATATTATTACAGTTTCGTTCGTAGTATTTTTTAATACTTTTAATAAGTTATTAGTTTTGTCTATATACAGTTTTTTTCACCTACAGGTAATGTATTCCTGAAGCACGGCTCAGAGCTGAGGTTAATTCCTCGAGACAGGGTCGGCAATGCCTCTACTTAAGTTACGCTAAGTACATTCCATTGGTGTTAAGTGATACTAAATGCATTGTTAAGTTGTCTACTTTTGTTACGATTGTAACATATTTTATTAATAAAATGCTTTTTGATGTATTTGTAAATGCATTAAATAATAAAGAGATTATAAATATCTTAAAATCTTGTTTAATTTCTAATTTACTTACTATTGGCTGTGTCCCGCGACTTCGTCTGCGTAAAGTTTATACTATTAAGTTCATTAAATTTTAAGGAAGCCTAAAACACCGAGTAATAACTCAATTGTTACGAAGACGGCTTTAGTGAATTTCAAAGTTCTTTTTATACAATAAGGTGGAAAACGAGCAAGCGGCCACCCGAAACCGCCAAAATGACCAAGCGACCGCTGCCCATAGACATCCGCAATTGCAGATGCGTTGCTTACCCTTGTCCGACGAAGGAGGGGACGCAGTTAATTCGTTTTTCGGATTTACTCGATACAAATTTCACCCCCCTTCAAAGCAGGTGTTCATAGCCTTTCCTTGTGTAGAAGCCGTTTTATATAATTTTTTTAGTAAAGATTTCTTTTTAAATAGTCAACGTCAGCATCTACCTGCCCTTAGCCCTACGGAGGGTCGGCACATTATGTACGTATTTGTTGCGCTGTCTCTCCTCGAAAAGCTTATTTAATTTTAAAATAAATTAACCTATTCATTAACAGATAACGTTAGTTCGTTTGTGTTTTTGAGTACCGAACACCAGGTAGCGCTAGTGAGATTATTTAAAAAATGTTTCAAGTGAAGTGTCATCTATGCCTATATATTATTTTGACTCTGGTCATAAATTGATATATATATAAGTTCTCTTTTAGTCTTACTAATATTATAAATGCGAAAGTTTAGATGGATGGATGTTTATTAGAGTTTGTTGCCTAAAGGACTTAACGGATTCGATGACACTTGGGATAGACAGAGCGTAGTCTGGAAAAACATATAGGGTCATTTTTTAATGATTATACGCGGACGGAGTCGAGGGCGAAAGCTAGTACTTCTATAAAATTCCGATTACATTTTAGTTGTATTAATAAGCTTTGTTGGTGTTATTGTTTAATTGTTCAGTATAAAAAAAAAACCAAAAACTTTGGTAAATTTTATTTTATAATTACACTTACATCTAATGGAATTACAATAAACAAGCGATTGTTCAAGTCATCACAAAGAGCGGCTCCGTGACGCGGATGAAGGACTTCTCAAACTCTGCACTCGAAAAGCGATCCACTGAATCTCTGAAAACATAAATAAGTCATTTATTTGACGTTATTAAAAACAAAAATATGCTATTTCAGGTTATTTTTATGGCAAATTGAAGACGCTTTTTATGGTAATATGCAAAAAATAATTTGCTTGCTGTAAGAAAGATTGCAGAAAACTGTCTGAGCAAAAAATACGCTTAGTTTTAACTGAAAAGTAAAATTTGAAGCGTTAAGTAACCTGGCAGCTTGAACTATCTGTTTCCGATCGTCAGTGGACATGGCGACCACCTCGAGTATGGCGCGCGCGTACTCCAGCGGCTCGGAGGCCAGGAAGCCAGTGCGGCCCAGCACGATGTCCAGCAGCGGGCCGCCGGAGCGGTGCGCCACCGCCACCAGCCCCGCCGCCATGCTCTCCACCACGCCTGCACACTCATACTTCAATATACACGTTTTCAAAGAAGTTTAAAAGCTAATATTATAAATGTGTAAGTTTAGATGGATGGACACACAGTCGACCGTCGGTGGCTCAGTGGTTTGAACACTTGACTTGTAATCTACAGGTCTTGCGTTCGAATCCCGCCATGTACCAATTTGAGTTTCGATTTTTTGAATTTCATATGTACATAATTTACCCGACGTTCTTACGGTGAAGGAAAACATCGTGATGCAACCTGCACATATCGGCAAAGAAATTCAAAGATATGTGTGACGTCAACCAACCCGCAGTGTGCCAGCGTGGTTGACTATGTCCTAGTCACCCTAACTTAGGGTAGGCTCCGAGCCCCTCAGTGGGGATGTATAGTGAGCTGGTGATGATGATGAGATGGATGGATTTTTGTTAGAGTTTGTAGCCTAAACGGCTGATAGAATTTCGATGAAATTTGGCATAGATGTAGAGGATAGTCTGGAAGAACACATAAGCTATACACTTTTTTTTTATCCCACGCGGACGGAGTCGCGGGTGAAAGCTAGTGATATTATAAATTCGGACAGTTGGGTTATTTATTGGATAGATGGATGGATGTTTGTTAGAGTTTGTAGCCTAAACGGCGGAATGGATGAAATTTGGCTTAGACATAGGCAAGTCTGGAGGAACACATAAGCGAATAGTACTTTTGTTTTTTCAACTTCCACGCGGACGGAGCCGCGGGAGGAAGCTAGTAATGTGAATACTGACTGATGCCGAAGTGCTCATTCCACATGGCGTGCAGCGCGACCGTGGAGGTCTGGTAGAGCTGCAGCAGGCGCGCGTACGGCACGTTCACCTCCAGCTGCACGCTCTCCTCCAGCGCCAGGTGGCGCGCCAGGTCGCGCAGGTGCTGCACCAGCTCCTCGTCCTGCGCGTTGCGGCACGACCCCACCAGCACCAGCTTCATCTGGCACATGCGGAGTTGGCACGTCGGTCATAAGGGAACTCTACTGCACGGTGTGCCAACTCAAAAAGTTATATGTTGACTGAAAACTGACAATTCGAACTGAGCAATTCGACTGACAGTTCAATTTTCCTTAAAATCCAGCTTTAACTGAACAGTTTAAATTATTAGAATTGAACGATTGTAGCGAGCTTTACCGTGAAGAATTTTTTATTTTTGTTTGTTACAAATAAACTTAAAAAGTATTGAAGCGATATCAAAAAATCTTTTACCATTAGAAAGCTACATTATTGAGTGACATCAGATATTTGATTACCAGATTATTTCAAAACCAAACACATAGATTCATTATTATTAAAACTGTAGGACTTTTTTTTTTCTAATTCACATGAATTTAGATTGAAATATAATACCTTGTTCCACAGCAGTTCATTCTTGACAAGCAAGTTCCTCAGCTCGTACATAGCCTGCAGCATCAGCGGGTGATCCTTCTCCGGTCTGAACTGAGCCACCGATAAGATCCTGATTGGATCTGACTCCTTCACTAGCGATCGCAACTTCTTAAGCTCAGATACCTGCACATTTAAAAAAAAATCAAATGATACCTAAAAAAACACCAGATAAAAAAACACCACTAATAAAAAAAATAAAATAATTGAACCTCCTCCTTTTGAAGTTGGTTAAAAATGGTCATAACATAACATTAAAGTATCTTTAGGTTTATTTGACTTGAATTAAAAAAAAAAACTTAGAAAGGATCTAATCCAGGTTGTAATGTCTATTTGTAAATTCAACTAGTTTGAAATAGATTAAGCTTTTTTCAAATAACTTGTATCATGTATTCACCCAAATATTAAGATAGACAAGATAGTAAGTTACTCACTTCACAGGGAGGGTAAACTTTATGAGTAGCGTGGGGGACTCCCCACACATCGTTGATATGTTCCTCAGTCCAGGTCCCATTCACCATCACTACGTCCGCACAACGCCCTACTACACCATAAAGCTGACAAAATAAATACTATTAAAAAAAACTGACTGACTGTGGTTTTAATGTTAAAATGCCATGGAACAGTTGATTTACAAAAAGTTAAAACCACATTTTATTTAATTTACACAACAAACTGCAATTTATTTGTGTAACACATAGAAAAAAATAAAAATAAGACGATAAAAAAGTGATTTTGCGGAAGATTTGAACTATTTCATCTCATTTTTTTATGGAATTAACATACATAAAGAAAACCTTTTCTGTCTCTGGCAGTCGGGTATTAAAATTATGATAATTCTCAAAAAGTTTTTAAAATATTTTTATTATGTAAACTTAGTATCACTTACCCAACCGAAAATCTTGTAATAAATTAACTTCAGCCAAGTGAATAATGGATTCCTTGCGATTAGACTTGAATTATTGTATGATACAATACGGTGTTTGACTCTCCGCATCATAGCTGCTGTGATTGTGGGGTAGTGGACATAGCAGATCACTGGACATTGCGCTAGGTATCGGAATATGGGGTATGTGAATGCAAAACCAGTTGTGTCTATGAAGATATCTGGAAAAAAAATGGGTAATGGGTAAATACAGATGGGAAACCATTTTGATGCATTTCGCAAGCCTGTTTTGAATAACTTAATATCTGAAACTATTTATTATCATAACTAAGTACATTTTAAGTTGTAATAACGAATTTTTTTTAAATACTTATTATTTATCCTAACACTGTATATAGTGCCAGGGAATTTTGAGGTCAATTTTAAGGTGGCTCATTTAAAAGTACAAGGCATTTGTTTTTGTAAGTGGATCACCGCAAAACATTCTGACATACATTTTTAATTATAAACACATTTACCTGGATTCAACTTTAATAGCGCTTCCATTCCCAACACCATAGAGCCTAAACTTTGCATCAATAATGTGAAGTAAGAATATGTATTTGCTTCAATCAACTTCTGTGCACTAAGTCGCACAAAGTTCAATTTCTCTGGCTCCACTTTCACATTGAATTGGTTTTGTGCTTTGTCCAATATTTTCTTTGATTCTGCTGTCTCTACAGTGTAAATGTAGATAGTTGCACTTGGATACCTACATGTGAAAATATATAACAAACCATGTATAATTGAAAAATATGAAGTTATAAAAAATATCTATACATAAGAATAAATAAACAAATTCATTTATTTAACAATAAACTTGTTACAAAGAATTGACTCAGGGTTCTCACACTAAGCACAGCCGGTATCGGGAAGACGCAGCTCAGCAGATTAATTAAAACACTATACATCATTAGACTGCAACATATTTAGCTATAATTACAATGTAATTGTAAGTATGATTTCAAAAAAAGAAATATTTACCGAGTTAATACAGCTTTGATAGCTACCCAGAGTACCCTCTCCCCACCTCCACCTGCATTGCAGTAAGGATGGAAGAATGCCACATTTAATCCATCCTTCTCTCGCCTCTGCTTCTTTCGCTCTTTAACTCTCATATACCAGGATGCGAAAATAAATGCGAAAGGAATAACTACGAATATCGAAATTAGTAGGAATGTCATTATCATCACAGGAAGAACAAAGAGTAACCTGTAAACAAATTTTAAATTAAATTCATGAGTAAAAGCAAAGACAATTAAAAAGAGTAACGTATTATATACGCAAATATAACTTAAGTACTATAGTTAGTACATTATTATGTAATTTATTGAAACTTTTGTATAAAATAATATAACCTTAATTAGAAATATTGTGTGAATTTTAATGAAAATCTTATGTGAATCATTGACTAATAATTGAGATGATAAATTAAATGTTTAAAGAAACAGTAATAACTTACGTGAATAATATCCAAAACATTTTGTCCGTTTAATATATATCTGGCAATTGAATTATAAGTAAAGAGAGAATTAAAGTTTAACAATTCTTATTACGGTTCTATTACATTAAATACAATTTTAAGTATGTTTCTTCAAACATTTTTAATTATTAAATTAATCACCACCCCCACGTAAACACCGGCCACCATAGACAAAATGACGTCTCCTTATTTTTTCCTCTTCAGAAAACGTCAGAAAGTAAATGCAACAAAACCGTACAGCCAAGACGCATAGACAGTTTGACTCTATAAGGTTTTTAAAAACAATTAAAAGAATAAAAAAAAAACAGAAAGATGTAGAAATAAATCTGAAATGTTATGCATTTTTCAGACACAATCAGGTAATCGAAGAGTAGGTTGAAAATGTAGAAAATCGTGAGGGCTGGATAGGATCGTGCTAAATAGAAATCTGTGGTCTCTGTCTACTCTTTTGGATAAAGGAAGCAAGTTGTTTGTTTTGATTTCGTTGGAGATTGAAAAAAATAACAGTCGGTAAAGGTAAATTTTATTAAGTTACTCTTACGTCTATATTGCAGATATAAAAAAAAATCAGAATACATGGTGACTTCACAATTTCAAACATTAAATTTGTATAATAAAATGAAAACATAATTACTTGTGTATAACATTAAAATACGTAAAAAAAAGTTAGCAATTGCTATTTATGAGAAAAGGATGCAAAATATTCGTACCATTAATACAAAGGAACATAATAAATTAATGCAATTAAATTAAAATAACCAGCTAACAGTTTTGTGATGGTACGTTCAGTACATTCAAGGTCTTATCCCAATACAATAAAGTTCAAATTAGCATGTCTGGATCTCTCTAATTGTTTACAAAAAGTGCGTTTTGTGTCTTATATGAATACAATAAAGTTCAAATTAACTTCAAGGCGCAGGTTCATCAGTGACCTCTGCCGCTAGATCCGCGAACTTCGCCACGTAGTCCATACTAGACTCCACCATTAAAGACTGTATTTGTGAGTCCACCTGGAAAATTGGTTTATGAGAAATTTAAGCATATTATAGTGTGATCAATTTTCCTGGCCTAAATTCACTATTTCCGAGGATTAACTATCGTCTGTATTCTGATAAATAAGCAAGCGTTCACGGAATTTACTAACCTACAGGGTAGGAGACTTAGAGGATACTATCCTAGATATGCGTCCCATACCCTGCCAATACCATTTTCATCTTTTCTTCGTGCGATAAAAGGGGGAGTATAACTAAAATTAGGCCTCCGACATACAAAAAACTCTGTTTACAGTTATGCGTTAATACCGGTGGCGTATGTTCTTGCTGGGGCTCATCTCCCTCCAGATGTCCGAGGAAGCTGCTGAGGGAGAAGTCCTGCACCGCGCCCTCCATCCAGCCCTCCGCGTGCAGCAGCCGCGACGGTGACAGCGACATCGACTCCGACGGCAGGAACTCTGCAATACTCTTTTTTATCACCTTACATATTCCAGTATCCGAGTAAAATATCCATTAAAATAAAAAGAGAAGAAAAGGAGAGGTAGTCAAACGGAAGATAATCTTATGTCCTTCTCAATCTCCGCCTTCCTTCTTCCTCTGCTCCTTCTCTTTCTTTAAGTAAATGTGGGGAATTAGAGTAAGAGAAAGCGATAGACGGACAAAATAAAGAAAAATGCGGAGAGTGAGAGTCAGAGAGTGAGAGAAGAGAAAGGAAATGTAAAGGCAGTATATACTTCACTTACATTTCCTTTCTCTTCTATGAGGAGAGATGGTAAGGAGAGACTGGAGCGGTAGAGTAGAAGAGAGATAGAGATTGAGAGTTCTCTTTCTACTAATTGCTGAAAGAATGAGATAGATGTATAATGTTATACTCACGTGCGATATCCGTGTTCTCAATATGTTGGTTATGTTCTGCGCGCGGCTCCAGCGGCTCCAGCGGCTCCAGCGGCTTCGCGACCTCCGTCTCTGTTACATCCATCTTATATTCTTTTATATCGTTATCTCTTACATCGTCTTCTGAAAAATAAGTAGAGGATGATAATATTTCTAACAGACAGAAAAAAGGAGGCTCTCAATTCCATTGGTATTTTAATGTAGTTGTATCGATTACTCTGAGATTTATGATTCGACTAGCTTTCGCCCGCGACTCCGTCCGCGTGGAACAAAAGAAAAGAAAAGTAAGTAGCCTAAGTCCTTCCCGACTATCCTCTAAATCTATGCCAAATTTCTTCTAGATACATTCAGCCGTTTTGGATTCAAACTCTAACAAATACTATAATCCAAACTTTCGCATTTATAATAATGTTTTTACTAGTAGTGTTTGAATTTTTTAAAAACCGTACAAAAACTCGGAAATTATGTCTTGAAGAGCGTTTACGCTTTTTGTTAATAAATACATATATTTTTTTCTTGTTAGTATTATGTTAAATACCTTCTAGTTCATGTTCGTCTGTACCATTTCCGGGTAGCGGCGTGATAGGAATGCGACGGTCACCATCGTGGAAGAAGAACTGCCCATTTGACTCACTCAGTACGTAGAAAAACGATAGACTGGTAAAATAGTTATAAAGCAAATTAGTTTTGGTCCTTGGAGTCGGAAAGTTTTGTATATTGTAATAACTTAAAAACTGCTGGGCCGATTTTAAAAATACTTGCACCGTTAGAAAGGTAATTTAGCGAGTAACATAGGCAATATAACTTATTTTTTTTATTTTACAAAACATAAAAGTAAAGTATGACTTACTCAGAAGTGGAGGTGGGCGGAGGCTTGGGCAGTATTTTGGGCGGCGCTGGCGAAGAATTCGGTACATTCATCGGGATCAAATCTGTGGATATCACAATTACTTCTATCACCACATTTAATAGCCACACTAAAGAACTCAACGACAGTGTGGCAGAGGTAATAAGCAATTGTTTATGACTAAGGCAATGGTTTTTCGTATAAATCTGGTTAACACTTGGCCAATACAGTTGCGATACTCCATTAAAAATAACAAAAGCCTTTGTACAGACAATAAATAAACAATTCTAACAGTATGCATTAAAAATTTATTGTCCTTCATTTTGTAGTGCGACAGTATCACTCGATAGAATAATGTGAACACTGAGTCCAGTGGGTGTGGCCGAAGCGAGGGCGGCAGGTACATACTGCTGGGCGGCGGCAGCTTGGGCAGCAGCGGCAGCAGGCGCTGCACGACGACGCGGCGAGCGGCGCCGCGCGGCCGCCCGCGCCGCCAGCGCGGCAGACCCTCCAGGCTCATTGGACGGGCCTGCACGAAAAAACCATAATTTTAAAAAAATATGCCATACTATTAATATTAATCATAGACATAGAGCACGTAGCGCAAAGCCCAATGTTACGATACAATTCTACCTTTTGCTCGCGACTTCGTCTAAGTATATAAAAAAGTAAGTACCCTGTCAGTTCTTCCACCAAACATCCATTTATTTACACTTTCGCAATAAAAAAAATTATTATATAGAATAGGTAATATAGAAGCGATCGATACTGCCTTTTCAAAGGTAAGGTTTATTGAATTTAGTCATATTTACGTCTGCGTCGGTGTCGTGTGGGCGTGGCGCGATGGGCGGCGGCTGCCGGAACACGGGCGTGGTCGGCGCGCGCCCCGCCCCCGCCACTCCCACGCCGCCCAACGCGCCAACCGCACCCACCGCGCTTACAGCGCCCACCGTCTTCTGCTAAAATACACAATAAATCAATTAAAATGAATACATGCTTATACAGCAGAACCTAGATAAATTAAAGTTTTATGAAGGGTCAAGGTTTATAGAGGTTTTTGGCTCTGATGGCAATGGAACATATTATTTTTTGAAGTTATACAGGTTTTCGAGTTACCGAGGTTTGAGTTATCGAGGTTCTACCGTATATAAAACTAGCTGTTGCCCGCGACTTCGTTCGCATGGTATTACGAACTATATAAATAACAAAAGCTACGTATCTCTTTCTCGAGGATGAAGTTTATCCCAAGTGTATTCCAGACTTTGTTTTATATATATGCCAAATTTCAATAAGATATGTTGAACCGTTGCAGAATGATCGAATAAACATTAAAAAACTAAATTAATGAATCCTACGGGAACTGTAACTATTCCCGAGATAAAAAAATAGCCTATGTGTTCTTCCAGACTATGCTCTAAACCTGTGCCAAATTTCATGGAGATCCGTTCAGCCGTTTAGGCTACAAACGCTAACAAACATCCATCCATCTAAACTTTCGCATTTATAACATTAGTAAGATGTACAATGTCAACATGCTTTTTACTTGACTAGATCCTATTTGTGTACCTGTTTCCGTTGCGTGTGCGCACACACGTGGCCGCACGCGCAGCGCGGCGCGGCCGAGCCGGCCAGCGGGTTGCCCGCCAGCGCCAGCAGACGCTTCAAACTGAAAATAAACACTAATTAGTGCAACATTGTTCAAATCGAAATACTTCAGAGGATTTTTTTCTGTATAAAAACTGTTCCCGTGTGGAGTCATCCGAATTAAATAAAAAAAAAACAGTATTTTACTTTTCACATTTGTGAATTTTAATTTATACAATTGCAAATGTTAAAATTCAAATGCACAAATGACAACATTGGATAACAATTACCGTTACCATGGCAACCTTGCTTTCTTGATGTCAGATTGTAGTTTAAGGTCGCTATCCCACGTGAAGGTTTTTTTTTTCAATTTATTAACTCACTGAGTGTAAATTTGTAACCTATAGCGTGTCTTAAATGTAGGGCTTTTTATTAAAGGAAGAATTATTGAAAAATATGGTGTAATATAGAGTTTACGCTTTACAAAATATCTTATTACATTAAAAGTATGAATTAAATATATATTTACCGATCGCTCATGAGTGCGAAGCCGTCGTGCGGCGACTGCGCGTGCGCAGGCCGGTTGATCAACTTGGACAGCAACTTGAGAGTGCTGGACGAACCTACTGACTTGTGCTCCGGAGACGCTTGCTGCTCATCTGAGAATACACTTTTAATTAATATATTTTACTAATATTATGAATACAAAAGTTTGGATGGATGTTAGAGTTTGTAGTCTAAACTTCTGAACGGATCTCGATGAAATTAAGCACAGATGTAGAGGATTGTCTGAAAGAACACATAGGCTACTTAAGATTCCGAAAATAACTATAGTTGTTGAAATTACATAAATTTAACATATTTAAATTTCGTGTCTTTAGTTTTTTATATCTATGCGGACGGAGTCGCGGTCGAAAGGTAGTATAAATAGAGAGATAATCTAGTAAATCTTACTCTTCCTCTCGTCTCCCGACATGCCATCATTGCTGTCCTGACTGAAAGTATTCTTCGGCGAGAATATATCGTTGTCACTCTCTCTCGCCTTCTCCTTCTCATCTTCTATCTCTACTCCTTTCTCTATCTTATCTATATGTTTGTCCTTGTCGTTTACTGTTAATTTCTCCGTGTCTATGTTCTTCTGTGACTTCAGTATCGGTTGAGGCAAAGGAGGAGTGGGTTCTGCCCACCAGTAGTCTAATTCTAGTCTAGACCGGGAACCAAACTAAAAGCAATTAAAAACACTAACATTAGCCTAGCCTAACCTAGCCTAGCCTGTTATTAAAATAACAATTTAATTAAAAAAAATATATTACCATAAGATACAAATCTCCAATAGTCAAGTCTCCAGCATCGTAAATACTCCAGCCTTTCCTGATCTGCTTAATAGCAGTCTCTACATCCACGTCCGACTTCTGTTCTTCTTCTGTCTTTTGCTGCTCCTGCTCGTTCTTTGCCTCTTCGCTCTCTTTTCCCTGCACGAGAGTGTATTCTGTACCACCACGTTTCTTTGGACGAATACGGAATTTAACCTGGAATATAGTTTATAATACGCAACATATGAATTTTACTAGTTTTGGATACATTTCAACTCAAAGTGAAACTAAATGTTACCTTAAGATTTTTAAATTTCCTTCCTTTTCCACTTTTATCGCCTTTTCCATCACTTTCGTTGTCCGTATCGCTTTTGTTAAATTTCTCGTCATCTTCCATCTCAGAAAAACTATCCTTTTCTCTTTCAAACATATCTTTGTCTCTCTCTGGTTCCTTTTCTTCTTCTTCCGCCGTTTCTTCTGATTTAACTTCGTTTTCATCTCCTACATGAACTTTTTCTTCTTCTTCTGGCTGCTTAATGGTTTTATAATTGGCCATGAGCTCGATACCGTCTATAGCTGTCTCGTCAATATGAACCATTTTCAGTTCCAAATCTTCCACTTTGATCTTTTTACTTTCTTCTTTCTCAGATACGCTGTCTTTACGTTGACGTTTTGGAGTTCTTATTTTTGCTAAATAAACATAAAAAATGTTTAGCCTAATAATTTTAATTTACCTAAGAAACTAATTATTGGACTTATCAGTACCATCTTTGTCCCGCTTTAGAGTGCCCATCCGCTCCAGGTAAGAGGAGAAGCAGATCTTCTGGCTGGACAGACTCTCGCTGGGGCTGACCACCGGTAGATGGATCTCCGCGCCGGGCCGGGGACCCACGTGGAGTGCTAGCTTCTTATCACGGAGATGTTCTAGACGATTATGAAAAGGTTATTTAGAGGTCATAACTATAATTTTAGTACCACAATTATACATATATATACCTTGGACAATAACCCTGTCAGTCTGTAAATTGAGATGACTCTCCAGATCTTCATACTTGTCACCAAATGGTAAGCGTTCCGCGTCATCTTCTTCTTTAGTTGTGTCTTCTGGCAATTTTTCTAGGCCATTCTCTGTTAGAATGTCTTCTTTGTGATCTGCCTATATCAATGAGTTAAGGTGAAATGAAAAAAATATCACCAGAAAGCAGAGGCCAACATCTGTATTACAATCGAATTGGCGGCATAATTTCGTATTTTGTTCTTTTTGATACACAGTTAATTTCGCTCTTGACTAGGTAGGTAAGTCTAGTGTTACTGTTATGAAAAACTTTGTACTAAAGGATACAAGTCGCCATCGTTTGTGTAACGCTCGGAGCAGCGCGAGGAGGCGCGTGCGCAGCGGCATAGTGGCGATTGCACGCGGGTTGTGCGCCGCCGCTTGCACGCGCGCCCAGCCCGCCGCGCAGCGCGCGCGCAGCCACACCGCCACACGCGAGCACACGCGCGCACCGCATGCACGCTCTATACGAATACACGAAGTACACACATCGTGGTAGAATGCTAGTTGACTGTCCGACTCGAAGGACCGTTTGCACTTTTTATGATATAAGGTGCGGACAAACGGCCACCTGGATCTACAGAAATGGAAAACTACCGCTGCCCATAAACATCCGCAATTGCAGATGCGTTGCCTACCCTTGATTGGCGGTGAAGGAGATGCACGTAATGAGGATATTCCCCCTTCCTATGTGTCTACTCCACAATCAAATCCGCTTTTCCTTCACATCTTTTCCTATTAAGAAAAGGGTGGAAAGGGAAAAGGACTAAAATTAGGCCACCGGCACCACACTTATCAGACGAAACGCGGAATTACTTCCACTTCACGCTTTTGTCTATGTGGTCGTGGCATTACACCGTGCGAGCCGGCCTCTTCGTGCGAAGATGTTAAAGCGGGCTCTACCACTGTTAAAACAGCTATCCGACTCAAAGGACCGCTTGCACTTTTAACGTTACCTGCAATGTGATTAAGCCTGCGCAGCGCACGGCACATGGGCGTGCGCACCCGCAGCGTGCGGCCGCGCGCGCGCACCGCCATGCTGCCGCCGCGCACCATCTCCCCCAGCCGCGCACATGTCTTCTCATTCACAGATGTCAGCTTGCGACGTAACTCGCCGTAGTTTATTAGTGCATATAGCTCTTGAGCTACTTTCTTTACGTCTGTAGGAACATTATTCAATAACTATTACAGATACAAACACCACGTAAATAAAAATAATATTTAGAAACTTACTCTCATCAAAGTGTACATGCTTGGAGAGTTTGTGCCAAGTTCTGTAGTAAAAATGGCTGACTTGTGTTTTAGTCTTAAGATTGGCGTCCGGCATTCCCTTCTTTTTCATCTTAGCGCGTATGTAAGAGGTGATTGCATCAAAGTCTTTGCCGTACTCGTTGAGGGCTTCGAAGAACAGGCTCTTTTCGTCAGCGGACCAAAGCGCTTTTGGCATGCGTTGCTTCACCGTCGGGAACGGCGGTGGCTCTTTATCGACATCTTTGCTTGGTGTTTCACATTCTGAAATTTCTGGAAAAAATTACCAGAAAATCAATTAGTGTCTCGAGGGTTTGCATACATCGATGTATTCACTAGTCTTCTGTGCATGACCGGTGTTAGACTGCGGCGAGTTTCTAGCGGTAGTTTTGCAGTAACGAGTTGATCTTGCCTCTTTTATCAGCTGGGGGTTCGAGCCTCAGTTTCTTGATGACTCTGGCGCTGGTGCGCTGCTGCTGCACAGTGGTCAGCGACCCCAGTAACTCCGTGCGCTCGCCCTCCACAACCGCATCCGGCACCACTAAAGGAACCATTGCTACCTCCTTTGTGACCGCCTGAAACAAATAAAAGATAGTCAATCCTTTTTGTTATACCGACTATATCTGATTTTTTTTAAATAATTGCCTGTTAATTATAGAGGCTGTAAATAATTGTTTAGGACCTTCCATAGATTCATTCCCCTAAACAATAAAACAGACAGTTGCAGCTAGTTTAATTAAATATTTTTTTACGATGCAATCAAAGATGGTATAGAAAGTCGATATGCATGGTCGTTGACATTTCCTTACTCGACAACTTTCGAGGAAGGTGCAAGGCCGGACGATACAAAAGCGAAATTAACATTCATCGTATATAATATCATGAATTTGCGAGTGACAATCATTTGTCGCTACCAAGAAAAGTATATGAGATTATAATGAATACTAGGTAGAGACAATTCAAGCGTGCTATTGGATTAAGAATTTTATTAACTCTTTGCATTTCGTGATAAACTTTTGATTGTAACAATTATTCCTTGTTTGCTTCTTCACGGTGATAAAATCGAAAAAACACAACCACGGATTATAGACAGATGTATCCATAGACAGGACAAGAAGTTTATTTTTCCATCTCCGTGTCTCACATTTAGCTTCGAACGTTTCCGCTAAGTAAACCATACGCAGGGGTCCATTCCGAATATCCATTCTACAACTTAAATATCTCTGTTAATATTGTCGCACTATTTGGCCGGTAACATGTAAATACAAACAGTGATTGAATATTCCATTGTGGTGCGAGCACGCGAGCACAATGCAAAACATACGGAACCGACAGATATATGGGTTATACGTCAGTAGGGAGGGTTCATCACCTTGCCACTGTCAAGGTCACGTTCCAAAATGTTTTCAGCTGATCATAAACTTGACTTAACAACTGTACAGTCACAGAAATTTGCATTGTTCTAATATAGAAAAATTGCCTTGACCCTTGCAATGAGACAAACTCCGCCTCTTCTAATTAAGTACGAGTGGAATAAGCTCGGAGCTTAAATAAATTACAATGGATAACAGTAAAAATAAACTGAAATACAGAAATGTTTTTCTATTCTGTACTTCTGTATGATAATTTAAGGATACATTTTTATTTACGTGACTGTACTTAATGATGTTTCAAAGCAATTGTCCTCGAAGAGCAAACAAACGTAAACATTTGCATTAAAATAATACCGAATTAACAATGCGACAATACCAAGATATAGAACTTCGCAATGGTACCATGTCACCGACAGATTTTGAATTACGTCAGTTTAATAATTTCCTAAAATTATCAAAAACTTAATAGCATATAATTATTCATAATTTCGCGTGTCGTTTTACCTAAATTTTATAAACCACGAGCTGTTGCCCGCGACTTCGTCCGCGTGGTATTAGAAAACATACGAGCTATATAAATAACAAAAAGCTACGTATCCCTCGGGATCCGGACACCAAGGGGATGAAACTTATCCTATGTATACTGCAGACTTTGTTTTACATTTGTGCCAAATTTCAATAAGATATGTTGAATTGTTGCAGAATGATCGAGTAAACATTAAAAAACTAAATTAATGAATCCCACGGGAACCGTAACTTATCCCGGGATAAAAAGTAGCCAGAGTAGTTCTTCCAGACTATGCTCTAAACCTGTGCCAAATTTAATAGAGATCCGTTCAGCCGTTTAGGCTACAAACATTAACAAACATCCATCCATCCATCCATCTAAACTTTCGCATTTATAATATTAGTAAGATTGAAGTGAAAAGTCGATTTATATCGCTAAGGCCTGCTACAGACGCTCAATACGAACTGATAGTTCAATATATAAAAGATACAGATTTTGTTCAGTTAAGTACCATTACAGTTTGACGTTGTTTAAAATCTGACGGCAACATAAATAAGAAAATAAGATGGATAAGATACGAAATGAGTATATTAGAGGAAGTTTGAGAGTAGCCCCCATAATAGAGAAGGTTAGGAGTAAAAGGTTAGCATGGTATGGGCATGTTATGAGGAGGGATGAATCGCATGTTACAAGGAGAACGTTAGTTATGGGTGTGGAAGGGTACATCGGTAGAGGTAGACCTAGAAAGAGATGGATGGCTTGTGTAAAAGGTGACATGATCAAAAAGGGAGTGATGACTGAGATGACGTATGATAGAGTTATGTGGAGGACAAAAACCTGTTGCGCCGACCCTACGGGAGTAGGATAAGGAGATGATGATGATGATGATAAATAAGAAAATAACCGCAGGTCTATTGGGGCGATGGTCATAACTCATGACATCTCCATATCAAAATACTTTATTCGGAAATGAATCGAAAAAATTCGACCCCAGACATTAAAGAGTTCTGTTACAAGGTCAATTACATGATCTTTTTGTAGCAAGTGATAGGGTTGCCGCTTGCCAGTTCCGGAGTTTTAATTTAAAACTAAAGTTATAAATCAACATTTCTCATAAATTTTTCGATTTCTTCATTAAGGAATCAGTCCTCTGTTATGGACATTTTTAATTTTTTAACCATTGGATTTGGCAAGAAATAAATCTTGAATTGAAATTAAATATAAAAAAATAAAACAGAAATTGAGCAATTAAAAGGGTCGAGGTCTAAGTATACTTAAATGGACCTTAGAGGTTCCTTATGTACGAATTCGTTTATTAACGTTCTGAAGCGTTAAAATGATTGAGTAATTTAAACATTTGACAGCCCTAACGCAGGATTTCTCATAAAACCAACACATTACAATCGTACAACCTTAAAACGGCGTCATTAACGAATACTTAAAGGAAAGTGCCGTCACATATGATTATAAAATACAATCACAAAGGGCGTATTAAGAATATACGTGAGATTGTTCTCGTAACGCCGTAATTAAAATGTCTATTACATTTGTGCAGCGCCTTGACCGGCATAAAGCACACCAAAAAATCGTCGATGATGTTACGAGTACGTGGTAGACCCCCTGTAAGATTCCTTGCAGTAATTATTTCCGGGGTGCAAAAGTGCCATGGGTCAGAGGTCAGAAGACGAGGGAGCACTCTTTCCTCCTATAAACTTCGAATCCTCAAAGATTTTAAATCAGTAAGATGAAGTTATCAATTCATTTAAAGACAATTAGAGATCCAATAGTATTCCAACAAAAAACGGATGTTTACCAAACTGATATACATCGAAAGTACAGGATAATGCAAAAGGTAATAAAAACAATATTAAAATGGACATTACAATCATTGCTGTCATTACACGTAGAGATAGACTTAAGATTAAAGCATTTATGTAATAAAAAAGATTAATTTAAAATACGGACGGGGTTATGAAGCGTGTCCTTCCGGCCTTGATAGCTTTTTAATTGACCGTCAGAGCGACAAATTAGTGGAATAATCACGTGTGCTGAACGAAATCGATAAAAGCACTGATAATCTATAAAAGCGCTATATCGTATTGCAAATCAAGCGCTCTTTCACATTTCTATATGTATATTTGTCGTTATGGTGGGATAAGTTAGTACGCACCAGGTTTACTCCTTTCGCAAATCTGCGGTACCGGTTGCAATATTAATTTTATTTACTCCAATATTGATATATTCATCATGTCGTCAGTCTATATCTCATCAATGGGCTTGGAGAGTATCCATGTTAAGAGTGGCTAGGCGACAAAGTGGTCAAGTGCGGATAGGTCGCCTGAATCCGCCAAAACGAATAAGCGACCGCTGCCCATAGACATCCGCAATTAGAGATGCGTTGCATACCCTTAATCGACGGAGGAGGAGACGCACATAAAGAGGATATTTCCAATTCCTATGCATCTCCTTCACCGTCAAATCCACTTTCCCTTCCCATCCTTTCCTTATAAGAATAGGGTGGTAAGAGAAAGGGACTTCACATATATACAATTTATATTAATGGTAGTTTAAAATATTTACTACCAAATGTATTCTAGAAGCTTTTGATCATTCTTATTGTTTCTTTAAGTCGGAGGTCTTACAGCCCTCGATATTTCGCCTTTGCAGAATAAAGGTGTGAGCGTTTACATGTAAATTAAATGATAATTTAAGACAATTTAAAATGTTAATTACCGGTCAATTGTCCGTACATGTCATCACCGAACAGGATATATTATACTGCGGGTATTCGAGCAAAAAACTGAAGACATTTTATTTGGCATTCATTTTAACGCCTGACCCGTAAAAGCACAGCATTCACTGATAGCAAAATACGTTAATTAATTACTGAACACGAATAATAATGTATTTTCGGTGTTTAATAGGTTTATAAGAGGTTATACCATAATTGGATTGAATTTATGGAATGAAAATGAAATTTCTTGGTAATGTATGATGGATGTAAAGGACTTGAGTAAATTTCATACATTCTTTGAGTCTCAATATCACAATTATCATAATCAGGAAAATTACATATGTAAGAATACTTGGAAATTGACCCCTTGCCCTCATCTTGTGATATAGCCTTAAAACACATTTAAAAACTTCTTTGCATGCAAAGGTAACTTTATTATATACTTTGTTAAAAATGTTTTGCAAGCTGAATTATAACAGTGGTGGAGCCCGCTTTAACATCTTCGTATGAATGAGCAGTTAGCCGCAATACCACGACCATACAGAAGATAGGCATCAAGAGGAAGTAATTCCACTATTCGCCTGATGAGTGTGAGTGCCGGAGGGCTAGTTGTCCACATTTTCTTCCCCCTTTTCTTATAATGGAAGGAAGGAAAGGGCGAGTGGATTTACAGGAAGTGGGGACGCATAGGAAGGGGAATTATCCTCATTCTGTGTGTCTCCTCCTCCGCCGATTAGGGGTCGGAAAAGCGTGTGCATTTGCGGATGTTCACGCTCTTTTCTAGCTAGCTTCTGGCTCGTTTGCTTCCTTATGATTGAAAAAAATACTGTTAATTTATAATTAAAGTAACGGCCACGCCAGGGGGAAAAGGACATTTGACTGCATTCGGACACGCACGGCTAACCGCTAAGTGAGAATATTCATTCGAGAAACACAACTACTGCTAGACAATATAATACGTAATAATGAAAATAATAACATAACCAAAGCATTTCTCGCAACATCCTTAATAATTTATTGTAATGACCAAGCAAAGACATAAAAGCATTTATTTTCAAATGATATAATATTAAAGTCTGTCGTAACACTGGTAAAGGTACGGCAAGATATGAAAAGACATGCTTTGCTTTAAAAGTAGTTATTTACAAGCTGATCTAGTAGACATGGGACGGAATAATTTGCTATTCTATACTTCAGGCGGTTAAATCTAATAGTTAATGTGGAATTGTTCTTTACATATACACTACAAAAATCGATCGAAAAACCTTTTGTTACTCTTCTCTGATATTAAATCATGCATACAACGTTTATAAGGCGTCTATAATTAATAGGGAAATATCATAATGTTGGATGGCTACAAAGGTAGAGGAAGACTCAAGAAAGTATGGATGGATTGTGTGAAATAGGATATGCTTAAGTAAGGAGTGGATTCAGATGACGGCTGATAGAGATGTATGGAAGAGCAGCACATACTGTGCACTGTGTGTACATCCATTATGGAGGGATAAGGGCAAGTGGATGATGAGTTAAATGTCATAACAGAGCGTAGAAATTAAACTTATCCCATGCGATTAACCCATGGTATCTGAGCATTAGTAGCAATTGTTGTTAAATTACACATCTATATTAACATAATAAAGCGTAAACACACACTACTTTGTGTCGTTGGATGTCAGCAATCACAGCACATTTTTGAATAATTCTTTCTTTAATATAAAGCCCTACACTTACGACACGGTGAAGGCTACATTTTTACACTATTAAACATGGAGAATTCATGTGGGAAAGGGACCATAAACTACAAGTTGCCAACATTAAGGAAGCAAGATTGCCATGGTTTGTGATCATGTTGTCATTTTGACATTTGCAATTGATAATTTGTCACATATAAATAATATAATAAAATTTTCATAATTTTATACGCATGAAGTCACACAGGAACAGCTAGTATTACAAGGAAAATGAAGCTCATGCACTTTTGCACTAACTGGATGGTTACGTCGCGAGTTACATTGTCCAAAGCTATTAATACTTTGATAACAGATAATAGATGTGTTCATTTAATTAACTATATATAGTTACAGTTTTTTGTTTTAACCTACGATATGATTTCCACATCGTTATTATCCGCACTGTGTCCGCTTATACAATAGCAATGCCGGTCGGACCAGTGGAAATCAAATAAATGTAAAGGTTGCCAATTGTAACTACATTCTAATCGAGAATATGCATTTCAAGTTAGGCTGAGGAAATATTGGGATAGCAAAAATGTTATTTTTGTTATCTTAATATTATAATTGCGAAAGTTAGATGGATGGATGTTTGTTAGAGTTTATAGCCTAAACGGCGGATCTTGATGAAATTAAGCATAGATATAGAGGATAGTCTGGAATAAGTCATAGGCTACGTACTTTTGGTTTTAATTATACCACGCAGAAGGAGTCTCGGGCGAAAGCTTGTCTTTGTTAATGTTATAAAGAGAAAAGCTTTGTATTTATGTATGTATTAATATAACACAAAAATTTGGGAGCCAATTTAAAAAATTGTATCATCAACAGAAAGCTACGTTATCAATGAGTAACATAGGTTATTTTTTCTTTTATTTTTTAATTTCCCGCGGGCGTAGTCGCGGGCAACAGCTAGTAATTAATAAGGGACCTGTGTAAGAATAGCAACTATGCTAATATGCATAAAATGAAAATAAACAACAGAAATGCAATGCCTTGTGACAGCTTGATAAGTCAACTCGGACAAAGGCAATTCGCTATGCATAGATGCTATGATAATCACTTTATATATCAGGAAATCCTGTTATAAAATAACTAATGCACATTCTGCCTGTTATAAGATCGCAAGTTTAGGATCTTTCCAACATCTATTATAATCGTTTGGCTAAATAAACGATTGTTTAATCTTTGATATCAGTAACCGTAGACATGTTTTGTAGTTCCTAGTTTAAAATTAAACAAATCCAATTTGATTTTTGGCTTCTAATGTTTAATTTGTTAATTATAAAGTTGTTGTTATTTTTTAGCGTGGTATGGACATGTTACGCGACGAGACTGTGTGAATGTGGATGGCTATGAAGGTAGAGGAAGATCGAAGAAAGTATGGATTATGTTAAAGAAGATATGCTCAGGGGAGTGGATTCAGATATGACGCCTGATAGAGATGTATGGAAGAGCAGCACATACTGTGCACCGTGTGTACATCCCTTATGGAGAGATAAGGGCAAGTAGATGATGAAAATATTTTTTTTTACAATTTTCTATGTTCACAGTATTTTATATCAAGCATACCAAAGATTAAGCACCAAACAGATTCGAACGTGCACCCGCGCGGCTTCTCTCCACTAATCAACAATAAACAATCGATTCTTATCAGGTAAAAAAGTAAACAATTCGCCACAATATCGAGACGCGTCATTGAAGATACGAAACGATAAAAATGGCGATCGGGACGTACAGCCACATTCTGACAGCGGCGCGGAAGCGAGCGCTCTCGGACCGGCGACACAAAAAAAAAATTTATAAGTCAGTATTTTTTTTTAGAAAAAATAGGGCTGTGATATTATCGATATGAGTGCAATTCGTTATATTGTTACGTTGTGCAGCGTATTGATAGTCGTCGGGGACGCGCAGTTGTTAAGGAAGGAAGCTTACGAAACTGTGGTAAGTGGATTCATATACATATTTGTACGAAAACTAACATTAAACAATACTCATTTAGGTTCGATTTTGTAATTTTCGTAAGTGAAAAAAAGCATGGCTCCTTGTTTTAATAAAAATAAAAGTTATTCCCCAGCGTTGTATTTATCGTCGGATTGTCATTGAACTGGTAGGATGTCCTGACGTCAGAGAAAGTTTGAGCCCAAAAAAAATCTAGAAATTAAAATATAAATAGAATTTCTTACTTCCTATTATACATGACATTTCATTTACTTATGTTATTTACATTTTTAGCTGTTATAAAAAGTACAAAACACCAACTTGTGTCATTTATTACATTAGAGCTATCTAGTCTTGTTGCCAATTTTTTGTCGAATAAAATAATAGATTTATGTATAGAACTTAAAGCTTATGTAGAGTGGTATTAATTTATATTAAACAGATGCTCGGTGCAGTTTCCTCCCTTCTTCTTTGTCGCTTGAGTCTTTACAGACTCGTCGTGGTTATCACGTACCAGTGAATGTAAATATTATTTATTACCTGTTACTCGCTACTTCGCACGCGTGAAATTAATAAATAATTAAAAATTCTAGCCTACATTACTAACTTATAACGTAGCTTTTTAATGGTGAAAGAATTTCGAAAATCGGCTAAGTAGTTTTTGACTTATTCAATACATACAAAAATCCAAATATACAAATCATTGCTCATTATCACATTAGTATAAAGTAAAGAGAATTCAATTATTAGTAATTTCTTTTATTATATTACGCATTTGTTACTATAAGTTAGGAATTTAGCTGACTTATATTGATTACTTAGTAACTTTTTTTTAGATACTAGATAGATATATAACCCACTAAAAGCAATAATTATTTAGATATTAAGGGCATGTACGATTAAAATTATAAAATATCTAATGGAATTATCGGATTTTGTACCCTTATCAGACAGTGACGTCATTTTTAAGCTATCTGAGCCTCTATCAGCCACTAGTGGGACAGGCCCTTATAATTATTTACTCGTCTGCTTAAAATATCAATACTCCATATTGACTTAGAACCTTAATTATGTAAATGCAAGATGCATTTAACTTGCGAGTTAACTTAAAATTAATTTATATGCATAGCAACGGAGGGTTCACATGCTGAAAATGTTTCTATCTCTAGTTTTCAAAGCGAAATTAATGGGATGAAGTCACAACTTTTAGATACCAAACACCCCCTTCCCCCCGCCTTTGTGGAAGATGCATAATAACTATCGTCTACTTCAGTCTCGTTCTATTTCAGTACTGTAAGTACTTCCTTATTTTATATATAAACTGATATTATGTTTATTAAATGCTTGCTTATGGACATTATAATAGCAACAACACATGTCGGTATTCCTCGCACGTTTGTATCGTGTGGGTATCCATTCACATGTCCGTCACGCGCTAACACAAATTGATTTTTATGCTCGTATGTATTTCCGCGACTCTTTGTATTTCATTTTCGTGTAAATATTTGGAATACATTGTACTGTCTCCAATGTCGAGGAATGGTATATTTTACTTGAGGAAGGACAATTCTCTTTAAAATTAGTAATTTTGGAAACTTTAAATAAGGGTTCATAATTCATTTTTGATTCTTGGTTGTTTGCAAATAGATATCAAAACATAACCGTTTGTGCTATAAAATTGTATGGATGAAATCTAAATACATTGCAGCCAAATCACTAGTAATCATAACAATAATCAGATGAGATCTTTATCGGTATATTCATGGCCGTAAACAGAAGTCATTTTGTATATCACTAACAATAAGTTTATTTTAGTCTAAGTTAAAAAGGCCGCTATTAATTACCCAAAGTTTGATTCATTGAAATGTAGATTTTTTCTTCTTCTAAGCTTTACAATTAAGTAGGGTGTTGCTCATTGAGCCCATGAATGCCCCCTCACCAATGAATCGACCCAAAATATTTTTCCAATTATGCCATTTATTGCTCTGCAAATATCGAGTCAACGCAAGATTAGAGTTGTCAACAGATGAATTGCGGGGATTCAACGACTAAGTTATCCTTTAGCCGTACTCTTAACCATTAGTTTAGTTAGTTAACTTTGAAATTAAAGAGTTGAGCGCCAATAGCCTAATGGTTTGGGGTACGGACTACCGATCTTGAGGTCGAGGGTTCGAATTCCACCATTCGACTATTGTCGTGAACCATATCCAAGCACAAGCCTAGAGCTTAATTGGAATCGTTAAAGGAAATATTAGTAAATTAACAAAAATCTACTGATATTAAAAAAAGAGTACCTAAAAATTAGGAACATGAACTAGTTAAAATAGTCATGTTTCCAAAAGGTGTTAACTTATTAGCATATTTTTAAATTGTTTTTCAAAACAATGTATGATTGCGTCTTCGTATCTGTTCATTGTCATCAAGTGAAATTCGACAGGTTTGGCGTAAACATGACATTAGGTGACATGTCAGGAAGGTTCCATACAATAGAATTTTATGTCAGTAATTTCACGAAAACTGTTTTGTAAGTTATCATTGATGTTTTTTTTTTCTTTTACGTAATCTAAATTATTTTATTTTCAATCTCTCATCGTATTAATTGACTAGCTGTTCCTCTGCGTCTTCATCCGCATGAAATTATAAAAACTTTATTTTATTGTTTACATTTGTTAATTGCAAATGTCAAACTTAGGGTTACCATAATAACCTTGCTCCCTTAATGTTGGCAAACTTGTAGTTTATCATCCCTTTCCCACATTAGGGTTTTTATCCAAAATATTTATCCCCCTAAGTTTAATGGCGTGAAAATATATAACCTAAAGCGTGACGTAAATGTAGGGCTTTTAATTATAAACAGGATAATTTAAAAATATGCTGTGAGTGCTGACATCCTACATAACAAAGTGTGTTTTCGCTTTATTATATTAGTACTAGCTATTGCCCGCGACTTCGTCCGCATGAAATTTAAAAATACAAAACTTTCATTCGCCCGTTTTTTCAACCTATTACCAAATGTATTAACTTAATAGTAATCTACGTAATAAAATCTACCTATGCAACATTCCAAACTTCTAAGGTGGCTTGTTATATTAGTATAGATATATATGAAACAAAGGCTCGTACAGATATAATCGTAACTTAGCACAACTTAAAGTGAATATGTCGCAGTTGAATTCGCATACAAGGTTAGTATGCCTACTTCGAGAAAATAAAGTATAAAAAAATTGCAGAAGTTGCTAAGACTGGTAACAATCATAATTTTTATTTATTTTACAAAACGTGGAAGTTACTAAAGAATGCGACATATGCAAGTCAAACGAGCATATGTTTAATATACTTATTATATACTTATAATATAACTTATATAATATACTTATACTTTATTACGCAATAATCACAGTAAAAACGGGCACCATGTTTGACTAAACTTTTGCGATAGTTTAGTCTCGATTTGATTTCTATCTTACTTCTTACTACTCGTATAATATATATATATATATATATATATATATCTTACTAATATTATAAATGCGAAAGTTTATATGGATGGATGGATAGATGGATGGATGGATGGATGGATGGATGTTTGTTAGCGTTTGTAGCCTAAACGGATGAACGGATCTCTATGAAATTTGGCACAGGCTTAGAGCATAGTCTGGAAGAACACATAGGCTACTTTTTATCCCGGGAATAGTTACGGTTCCCGTGAGATTTATTCATTTAGTTTTTTAATGTTTACACGATTATTCTGCAACGGTTCAACATATATTATTGAAATTTGGCACAGATATAAAACAAAGTCCGGAGTACACATGGCATAAGCTTCATCCCCGAGAAATGCCCGATTCCCGCGGGTTACGTAACTTTTTGTAATTTATATAGTTTGTATGTTTTCTAATACCACGCGGACGGAGTCGAGGGCGAAAGAAAGTAAGCTTATAAGGAGGTGCGCACACTACTCGATTTTTGGTTGTGCAACTAAACAGTTGAGTTGCGAAACAATCGACAATCGCACAACAGTTGTGCGATAGTTTACTCAAAGGCGTGCGCTCCAAATATATTCCAGCCAGTGAAACAAAACAATCGCGAATAATTCACTCCTGAGGGGATTTCCTGAACTGACAAAGCATACTAATGTAATACAGAAAATACGATGCCGTATTTTACAAATCAAACGACTATGTAATTTTTGTTATTTGTTAGTCAAATGTTTACAATTTTAGAAGACAATGCTATACGTGGATTTTTATTTGTTTCTTAATTTGTTTTTAATTAGTGGAAATATTTTAAACACCAAACACAACTTATAATATAAATATAGACGAACACTGATTTTGTTTGGTTTGGAAAACTATTTTAGCTAATCTTACTAATATTTTAAATGCGAAAGTTCTTATGGATGGATGTTAGAACTTAGGTATCGGTCTAGAAGAACACGTAGACTGGTTATTTCTTACTTTTATTTAAAACTTTTCGTTTTCGTTTAACGGACGCTCAATTTTTCCTCAAGATGAGAGAACTTTTTCTTTAAGGATTAACAACGTTCTTATGCCTAAGGTTTTTTATTTTTTATTGTTTATGTTTGTCCAATACTCAATTGCAAATGTCAATATTATCGTTGCCATAATAACATTGCTTCCTTAATGTTGGCACCTTCTAGTTTATGGTCGCTTTTACACATGAACGTTTTTACCAATTTGTTTACCACCTAAGTTTAATAGTGTGCAAATATATAGCCTAAAACTTGTCGTAAGGCTTTTCATTAAAAAAGTATTATACAAAAATATGCTGTAATTGCTGACATTTTAGGCAACAAAGAAGTGTGTGTTTACGCTTTATTATAATAGTATAGATTAAAGTATGGATTAAGAGCCTTTAAAATTACCAAGTCCATTTCATAGCAAAAACTTCTCAACATTAACTAGGTGAAAAAACATGTTATTAGTTCATTGTATATCAACATTACAAGATGCATGACTCGATCTATTCCAAATCAATTACCACGGTTGTAATCAGCCCATAAACAATTGAATATTCATTTATTTTTTAATTGTTTACTAGCGAAGGTACTATCGACTCTGGGATAGTTATCAATTCCTTAGCGTGCGTTCGCACGGGCAGACTTTGTACGCCGCGGTAAAGTTCAAGGTCAGCAGACTTTTTACGCCCACGAGATAGGTGTTCG